AACATCTTTGCCTGTAACTAATCACTGATTCTTACTCATCTTAAAACAGAATAAATTGGCACCAGTGCTGAAAAAACTCTATTCACAGTCCTGCTTATTTGTTTTCACACAGTTTCCTACCATTAACTCCTTATTTAGTCACAGATGTTTGTACAGTTGCCTAATGAACTAGTTAGCAAAATGTATCCTACTAACTGCATCACGCCCAGCATCCCACAGACTATTGATTTGGATTACTCACATAAACCAACTCAGGACACTTTTTGTACCACCATGACGTATGAAATGAGGTTGAGGGAACAGCACTGCTGACATATGACAGTGTGTTTTATGAAAGAAGTATAGACTCATAAAATAATTGAGAGAGGAAATGGCTAGAATAATAGTAATTCACCTGGAAGGGACCTAAAAAGATTATCAAGTCCAACTACATTTTCATGCCTAAACATAAATTAAAGTATATTGTTAAGAATATTATCCAAATGTCTCTTGAAACGCTGACAGGCTTGGGACAACAACAGCCTCTCCAGGAATCCTGTTCCAGTGTTTGACCTCCTTTGTGGGAAATAAATTTTTCCTAGTAACCAGTCTCCCTGGCATACCCTCTGGCATGCATTCTATCCTTGGTCATTAAGGAGAAGAGACCAGCACCTCACTCTCTGCTTCCCCTGCTCAGGAAGTTGTAGAAAGTAACGAGGTCACCTCTTCATCTTTTCCAGACTAGGCAAAACCCAAGCGTCCTCAGTGTCTTCTCACAGAACATGCCTTACAGCCCTGTTGCCAGATTTCTTGTCTTTCTCTGGATGTATTCAAGCACTTAACATCCTTTTTATATTTGTGGAACCTCGAATTACATGCAGTGCTCAAGATGGGGCTGCACCAATGCTCAATATAGAGGCAGAACAATTGAAGTCTCCTATCCAACCTTTCATTTACAGTAGAGTTAAGTTCCAAATTACATCAGCTTGCTCAGATCTTGTCTGTTGAGTTGTGATAATTTCCAAGAGAGTCTTCACACCATCACTAAGCAACCCTACCCAGTTCTTTAACTATGCTCATGCTGATTTACTTCCCATTTTGTTTATATTCTGTTCAATTCTCCCTTCAGCTTATGAGTAGTTTTTTTTGTTGTTGTTTTTGTTTTTTTTTCACTGTGGAGCTCTGAGTCTGCCTCCATCTTTTCTGCAGGCTTCCATCAGGTGTTTAGCAATAACTCATTTTCTGATGTTTAAATAAATCCTCAGCCTCTCTTCAGTGACACTTGCTCCGGCCATTAAACACTGTACTGACATTATGTTGGAAGCTCCTCAGTATACCTTGAGGCCCCAAACTGGACGTATTTGTCTGATGTTGTCTCACAAGTACTTGAAGACAACAATCCATTTCTACAACGTGGTTATATAAAAATTGTTTGGCACTTTTCAGAGGTGACCAGGTTTGCTCCTTTCTTTCTCAACCTTTTTTTTTTTTTTTTCCAAAATCAATGAAGAAATGCAGGCATCTCGATCATGAAAACATGAGAAGTCACTGGCACAGGCTATGAGCTCATAGGCCAGTGGGAGCAGGTCAAAGTTCAAGGATACTTGGACAGATTGTTACCATTACCTAGGAAAGTCTAAGCAGTGAAATTTAGGCTTTTCTTCACTCTTGCTTTCATTTATGGACATTCAGGTTCTTTGCGGGGTGCTCACTCCCCAAGCATTTAAGTGGGCCTACAGTACGTGTAATTTTATAAAATTTGACTGGTTCCTGCATCAGTTTTCTCTCTTCTTCCCATTTTTGTCTCACTTCCTCTGACAGCTCCCAGAGTTCTTCCTCTTCCACCTTAGAAATGAATCCAACTCTATGGGAGTTGTCCTTGTGTTTTTTCAATTAACAGTTAACTAAGTGGATGTTTGAGACAGGAATTTGTTTGAACTGTTTAGGATATTTCCGTGTTTGTACCAAATCATAATTCTAAAATTATTTAAAATACTGTGGTACACATTCAAGACAGATTATTATCTGGTTATATAGACCATTGCCTAGTTGTGACAAGTACATCTTGGGTCTTGGATAAAAGAAGGATAAGCTTACTAACTGTGATTGCATTTTAATTTGATTATTTGTTTTTTCCATTTGTTTAATTTAGATTTTCACTTATTTGTTTGTTTGTTTGTTTCCAACTGTGTTTGTTGTTTTTGTAGTGAGGTCAATAGGAATAGAACCGCCATCTCCAATGAGGTACTGAACTCAGATAGAAGCATATATGGTGTCTTTAGGCAGCTCAGAGCTTCTTATGAGGTTTGCCTTAGGTCAGCAGGGAAGCTGTTATCTGCTAGTGTGTTTTAAGGTTGAGCTTCCTCTAGCAAATACAAGGCACCAACTCTTCTGAGAGACAAAACCAATTAAGAGGCAATCAGTATCTCCAGGTACACTGTGAATCATGAAAGTAATTTCCCTTCTTTCTAATGAGCTTTGTGTCAATCACCGAATCCGTGGAACTATTCTGCAGCTTTCTATACCATCTCAATGGTGCCTATTTTTATTCCTTCCCATGAGATTTGAAGTTTAAGGAGAAGTTTATTGTAGGGCTTCCCTCAGGAAGAAGCAAGAATGAAACATATTTCATGACTAAATTGATTGCTAATCCTGGCAGAATTCCTGGTTCCTTTCAGAGGAATAAACAATCAAACAAATAAATAAATTAACATATTTGCAACACAGAATTTGGAGAACTAAAATTATTAGTTATAATAAATGCAATGGAAACAGAATTAGTATTTTTAACATATTCTTAAGATGTGCTAAATTGTTCCTTAATTTGGACTTGTGATCTGCTTTGACTTTCATATACAAGGAAATAAAACCTGATCTTTGTTATCATGTAACATCTGTTATTTTAAGATGGTTATTTTGAATATATCTGAGAGCTGACCCCAAATTTCTCCTACATACAGTTTTCACTTCCTAATTTGAGCCTTTTCTATTAAAAAGCAAATTGAAACTATCTCGTGCTTCTTGTTAGTTCAAGATAATTATGGAACTTAACACTTCAGATTATAATTACACTTGCTGTTGAGAACAGCAGCCATCTCAAAACAGCAGATCAAATCAAATTAGCTTTTTTTTTTTTTTCAAATAAAGTTAAATATGTTTAAAATTTACTTATTGATGCATATAGAATAACATTTTACGGTAAATGTTATTTAATGTCTGTTGGAGATAGACCCTGCTGATAAGATTCATTTGTCTGAATGTTGATGTATGTATGTGAGCCAGATGTCAAGGCTCCCTTTAAACCACAAGAAAAGCAAATAAAATGTGGTTTGTTTTATTTGCAAATATATCTTTAAAACAGGACAGATGAACTGTACCTTCAAAATGGTTCTTTCTTTCCAATGATTGCAAAAGCTTTGCCTAAGTGGCTGATCATCTCATAAATCCCATGACAAATTTCCTCGTTGCATTATCTAGTTCAGAGGTCCTAGCTGTAGAAAAATACTAGATTAGATGGTTTGGTATATCAGACAAAAGTCTAGGTTTTTAATTAGAGAATTGATACAGAAATTGAATGACTATGAGGCTGAAATAAAACCTTTATAATTCAGAAAAATTCCTAGACTACTTAAAGGATCAGACCAGAAATGTTCTTATCCTATTTTTCAAATTCAAAAGAAGTTGCCAATGAAATCAGTAACATTTAAATTACTGCAAGAAGACTAGTAAAGCAATAGAAAACATGAAAAGTCAATTGCAAAGCTGAGTGAGGTTAATAAAATCCATTGCTTTTTAAAGTGAGATTAATTTGATACACAGGGCTCACGTCATTGAAGATTTTTCCTATTCATTTCAATCTCAGTGGTCTTTATTTTTCAGATTATGAAAGCTCATGAAACAAAAGTGATATTTCAAATAATGAAGACTCCTGCAGAAGGAGATAAAACAACTGATCTACAACTGGGTGTTTTTTCTAAACATACAGGATGATTACTAAATCATACTATGCATACATACATGCACACATTTATGTATATACATGTGGGTGTAAATGCGATTCATTTGATTTATATATGTTCATGCATATGCGTATGTGCATATGTATACTGGCATTCATACGTATGCATTTGTATGAACATGTTTAGATTTGTATAGACATATGCATATAAATCATTGAAATTTACCTAATCCTAGGAATCTGTATGTATGAAATCTACCTTGACTCAACACAGTGTTAGCTTGTTGGATTAATCCATACAGAATCTTCAGACACAAAGTTATATGATCATAGCTATCTGCACTGATTTCAAATTGCTGACTTTACTTCTGCTCCTGACATGCATTATTAAACAAATTTTCCACTTCAAACTGTTCATAAACCTTACCTTCCACTTTGTTCATAAACCTTACCTTCCACTTCAGTCTATCCACTTTTTTACAAAACCCACCGATATTAGTACTGAAACCAACCAGAGGGGCAAAATCTTATGGAGTATGGATATTTCTCAAAGAAAAGGTGGGTGATTTGAATCCCAACAAGACTGTGTAGCAAAGGATTAGTTTCCCAAATTCCAAAAATCTTCACAGTAATTGAAAGTTTCTCACCATGTCATCCTTCTTATTCTTATCTGAATCTAACACAATTTGAATGACTTTTCATGGATAAATTCTGAACTAAACTCTTACAGGATTTAAATCTAGCCCACTATATTTATTTGACTGTGTATATCACCCTATATATGTCACGATTTCATACACATCTCTCATACTTTGCATTGTTGTGATGTTTGCTATATAAAGCAATGAAACATATGCATACATCAGTATAGCAAACTAGGATGAGAACAAACTACAGGGGAAAATTAAATGGAAAGAATTATGATGTTGTTAGAATTCCTTTTTTTTTTAATCTTCTCAAAAAGATTTGAGAGATTCTTTGTCAGAGATTTTCCACTAGTGCAGTGTGACAGAAGGAAGTGAAATGCTCATCACTGTTCACCTTTTTCTCATTTTCACTGCAGTGTGGCAGCTGACATATTTATCTCCTTTATTTCATGAGACCCCTTTATATGGGCATGAAGAGGATTTCTCAGTACACAGATCACAGGATGACAGAGGTATGTATGTTTTTATATGTGTGTATAGATTTTATATCTGTAGAATTATTACTGATAGAAAATTGGGTTCTCAAGTGATTTAAGTGGCAAAGTCCTTAGGCTTATACTTTGGTATTTCCTTAATTATCTGTTATCTTATCAACACTAGCATATAAACTGGTGCAACAGGAAAAGATCAGTGGTCCAAAGTAGTAAGTTTTGTGGCACCTACATCTATATTGCATATGGTAGGGAGCTTTTCTTTGAAACTGGATTGACTCTGGTCCCTGATACAAATTTCCTTTTCTTCACGTGGTTCAGTTTTGTCCAAAAGTCTCACCACTGGTTATGATTATGACATATTCAGGGACAGGATCACATAATATGCTTGCCTGGAGCAGATTTTCCAGTTAAGTTTCTCTCAGAGAATCTTATTTGGATGTGCCAAAACTATTCTGAAAAGAAAATCAACTCAGTGTCAGACAAGGTAAAATTGAAGAATTTATTTCAAAGCTGTGTCACTGCTCTGAATCAAAACAATTATGCAGATGAATCCTGCATAACATATGAACATAACAATGTCAGAAAAACTATTTTCAGGAGTAAAGTGGGGAAGTTCCTGCTTTTAGGTCATGGTCAGGGCTGCATTTCAGAGTGGGGCTATGCTCAGTTTGCTTGGTGGGGGGTTGCAGTGATCCCTGATATTTTTTTCACTTTTGCTTGGAGATTTTTCACTCTGTGTTTTCACCGTGTCTTTTAAGTAAACTCTGAAGGCTTTTAGCATGCCTACAAGCAGGTTAAACTAAATGCAAAATAGACTGGAGAGTTAAGGATTTTGACCAATACAGAGAAGTTAACAATAGTTTTTGTGGGTACACAAGATTGATAGTCTACCAATGATTCAGACATACTGAATTGATACTGAACACAGGCTCAAGTGAAATGGAAATGAATGAAGAATCTGTGACAGACTTACATTTATTTGTCTACAGATGGATATCGACAGTGCTTCTAGGAAGAGTACAGGAGATACACAGTACCTCTAAGAAAATATCCAGAAGGACAGCATATTCATTCCCTCCTTCAAATCTCATTTTGGATAGAGGCCAATAACACTTATGTAATGCATGCTGCAGCTATATGATATTGCAAATGAGTTGAATGCCATTCAAAATTCAAAATGAATTTTGAAATAGAAAAAAATAATAGTTAAGAAGTATGGAAGGCCAGATGGTCACAGTGTACATTACATACATCTGTCAGATATGAGCATTCTATTTGTATACTAACTCCACTGTCCTACCAAAATGTTGCACAAAATTTTGAGTTAAGTGTATAAAGTAACTTAGTATCATCAGAAATGTATTTATACAAGACTCTCCAATCAGTATTCTTCAGGCAGTTGAGAGTATATTGCAACCTTTATTTTGTAATGGGAGACTACATATAGGAGTCAGGTTATTCATTCAGATGTCTCACTGAGAAGCCAAAGAAGGATATCATTTCTATGTACCCCTACTTAAATTTTCATTATTTATTTAAATTAAAAATCTAAACTTCATCAAACTGTATAATGTTTTGGAAAAAAAAGACATCTGATCTGAAAAATTTATTAGCGTTGACCTTTACTGGGATTATTCAAGTGAGAACAATTATGCAGTTAAATTCACAAAATGCCTCCAAAAAGGCACTTTTTACTTACTTTATAATCTTATAATCCTTCTCGTAATTATAGCAGGAGCCAGGGAATAATTATTGATTTTATTGTAAGCTTTAAATGTGCCCCATCTTCCAGTTGATCCCAGAAAGGGAAGGAAAGGAGATATGTGCTTGGGTTTCTTATTCTATCACATTGGCAAGCCAAGACTCTTCAAGTCTCATTATATTTTTATAATTTTGTGAATACAGAGTAGCCCCTTATTCAGTGGAACAATACCTAAATGAGGTGTTGACAAGGACTGATGAGGAAAGGCTCATACACTCTGTTTCCCAAACTCTGTCTCCAATTTGATGTGAAAGCTCTCTGTGTGCACAAATGAATAAACATTAGAAATGCCAGGTTTCATGTTCAAAAGTACAATGGGTTTAAAAACTACCAGTAACCCTATATAGTTTCTTAACTGTAATAATACGCAGTATAATTATTTAGCAAGTTAGGAAATTTTTCTTCATGGGAGCATTTGAAGAGAAAATAAATTGTATGAAATAGGATAATAAGTCTGGATATTGTGTAGTCTTTACTTTTTCAATTATGGGAAACTGTGTGAAATGTACCTTTATATAAATACAGTCTCTTTGCATATTGCCATAAAGCAGGAACAAAACCCCACAGCCTTAAGACCAGTGTACATACAAAGAGTTAAAGCGTATGTGCCATTCAAGGGTGAAATCTTCCCATATCTCTTTTACCTGTCATGAAAAAATGGACCCTTAAAATGATCATGTCAGAAGGGCTTAATATGGTGAAGATTTTGAATAATTGCATTCGTGTCACTGAGAATCCAGTAACTTTCCTGAACATAGCAGAGTATTGTTCCAATAAAGCTAAACAGTCACTCAGGCACAACCAAGAAGAATAAATGCTATAGATAGTAGATGAGCAGCAGAAGGAAACAGAAAGAATCCATAGCAGTATGACTCAGTAGACATTGATGGAAGTTACATATGGATCTTTTTCTGGTAAATCACACAAACTGACTAATTATTGTAGCCATATGTTACCAGAAAATATGTAAAATTCTAGGCACTATGACAATGTAAAACATGAAATATGATGGCAGATGTACAAACTGGGTGTTTAACTCAGGGGATCTACAAAAATTTTCAGTTTTTTCAAGGCATTAGAAGGCATTTTCAAGTCATGCTACGTTATCACATCCCAATCAGTGAGATTGCAAAGCCAAAGAGGTAGTCACAATATAAAAAAAAAAAAAAACTTAAAAAATAATAAAAAGATATTTCATTCTATTATATAATAAATAAATTATATATATATAATAATGAAATTATATTTCATTAAATTGTATAAATGGGCAGGATGCTCAAAACTTACTGAAACAGCAACTTTACTAGAGCACAAAGTACTTCAGCTCCTGAATCCTTGTAAACAAACAGTAAAGTGCAACATATTCTGGAAACACAGCCATCACTTTCTACCATGACGTTCATCATTCTTCTGTTTGTTTCATTCTCTCCCACTCATAAGCACAGTGGTACCAGAAGAAATAATACACAAAAGGAAAGAGTACTCTATAACATCCTAAAGGAGTTTCAAATGCCTACACAGGACCAACTGTTAGGAGTTCTTTATCAGAAATATGAACCTAGAGATTTTCTAGAATGGCAAAATCATTATTCACTTGTTTTTAAAACTGTAAGTCTCTAAGTCTTCCTTGAAACTATAAGTCTCTAAGCCTACTGACATGGGATTAAATAATGAATGATTATGGTAAGCATATGTATCTATATACGAAATAGGGACAGAGCATAATGTTGTAATTATAGCTATGACACCAGATTCTTTACCACGAGAATCAGAAGAATCTAGTAAGTTTAATCACAGAAAAGATTCATATTAATTCCAACACATTGATTTTCAAAACTTCTGTCTTGAAGCATAATTTGCAGCCTAATAATTCTGTCTAAATACTAAATTAAATAACAATTAAATTTTAATTTTAGCTTGCCTTGTGATCGCACCTGAAAATGCTCTAGCCATTTGTACTCCAAGATAACTGTTTGAATGTCAGCCTAAAAAAGGCTTTGTATTACAAGAACAAATGGGGGAAAAAAGATATTTTGAATACCAACATAATTATATAATTTATGTGTTTGTTATAAATTAACTAATGAAAGAAATCAAGAATTAATAATCTTCTAAATCATATACAGGAAATGCAATACCATCTATTTTTAAATATTACATGCATTAAATAGTTACAAAAAATTGTTAATTATGGGAGTAGGCTATGATATATTATATTTTATATTATATTATTATATATTATATTATATTATTATATATTATATATATATATTATATTTTAGGTAGACTCAATAAAAGTGGTGCTCTGTTAGAAAACTGCCCACTAGAAGCAATTGTACCATCTACAAGAACTCTTACAAACATATATTTATAAGGAGTGCTTGCTAAAATATGCTGTGTTTGTGAGAGGAAAAGCTTGAATTTTGGAATTTGCTCTCTATCATAGAGTATTAATTTCAGCAAGCAAGACAGGCCTAGAAAAAGAAAAACTAAAGGAAAAAAAACATGTAAAGGACTGTTAAGTTCTACAGCAGACTGTCAAAGTCTCAGTCACAGCTAAGATTTTTGATGCAGGTTAGTAGAAGTCTCTTAGGAACAATATTATATTTTGAAGCAATGGATAATTTTTTGATATTCCCTCAACCTCAATCCTTATTTGCTTTTTGGTGCTTAAAGTTACCTTTATTAACTTGTATTTGTAGTAAAATGTGTCTGTTGCTATCCAGTTTGCTCTGTTTTGTTTAGCTTTGTTTTCAGAAATAATACCACATACCTGTATTAAAGTTTTGATGGTATTGCTAGCAGTATTATTCTTAAGTGCAAACCCTCTTACTCTTTCCCTAATGTCCCTCAAAGGAATCACCAGAAAAGCCTCTTGAAAGTCCAATGGAGCAGTGCTTTAGTGAAGATGCATTTAAAAGCTGTACCAAGAAAAGCCATTAATAACATTAGGCAAGAAAATTATCTTTCAAAATACTTATTGACTCACTATTTCAAAAGGTTGTGTTTTAGTTTTGAGTTGAAATCCATTTGCTTTCAGGTTTTTCTGTTTTTCCTTTAGCTGTTTGTTTTAATATTTGATTATTTTCTACAGAATTCATGGGACTTTTTAAATGAAAACTTTTAAAAAATGAGCCACAGTAAAATTTTCTTGACAAATGATTTAATGACTAGTACCCATCCAGTCCCAGTTCATAAATGAGTAGCACAGGCAGCCTGGCTAGCCACTAGTTAATCACAGTAGGGCTCCCTGGATTATTTACTTCTCTTTTAATGACACTTTATAGCAACAATTTGGCAATTGGCTTGTTTGGATCAATTATACACAATTGGATCATTATATCAAGTAATGTTGTTTGTCACATGAGTACAAGGATGTACTTGCTTCATTTTCCTCTGTGTTTTTATCTCTGGCTGCAGTCTTTCTTCTTATTTAAATTCTTCCTGCTTCTTTTCAGGGAAATCGGTTGGATTATCCTGGCAAGTACCTCAGGAAGACAACACTAATTGCTCCAATTGTTACTGGAGAGCCAGATGGGCAAAGTAGACTACTGGGCCAATCAGTAATTTCTGAAAAAAATGTTTCCCAGAATTTAGGAAGCTAATCATTCTTAGGTTTATAATGCTGTTGTTCTTTATCCTGAATCAATTTTTCAAATTAGTGTCATTTTTAGGTATAAACAATATGGCTATTCCAAGTTTGAGGAAGCAAGTATGAAATGTTACAGATAGCTTAAAACAGAAAAAGAAAAAAAAAAGATTACTGACAACTTATTCCAGCTTCATCCACTGCTTAAAGATCCTGTATGACAGAAAGAATATCTTTCCACTTTTTAAAAGTAAAGGCACTGCGGTATGAGGAAATTGACACTTGATAGGCTAGCTGCAAATACGTTCATTACTTATTTTCTATTCACTTTTGTTCCTGTTTTTCACTCCATATTGAAGCAGTCATTCACATAAGAAATCACCATCACTGCTATTTTCTGCTTTAAGTTTTGGTGGCACTGATTAATCTTAAGCTGTCAAGAATACTAGAGAGTAGACCTTTGCTAGAAGCTGATGGCCAAAAGAACAGCTGTGATTCTATTAATGACAATATAAATGTCAGATTGAACAGTATCCTTTTTATTTATAGACAGTAGATGAATTTGGCAATAAGTTATTCTTTCATTTAGCTCTCTTTCTAGGAAAGGATCACATTTTACCACCTCTATTTGGAATAAAAAATATTTTATTTTAGAAACAGTTGAAGAATCACAGAATTTTTTGAGTTAGAAGGGTCCTTTAAAGGTCATCTATTCCAACTGCCCTGCAATGAACATTGTCATCTGCAGTTAGATCAGGTTGCCCAGAGCTTCATCCAGGCTGACTTTGAATGTGCCTAGGGATGGGGCATCTATCACATCTCTGGGCATCCTATTTTAGTGCATCACATCCCTTAAAAAAATTTTATTCGTATATCCAGCCTAAATCTTCCCTGTTTTAATTTGAAACCCTTTCCCCCTGTCCTATTACCATGAACTTTCCTAAAGAGTCTGTTACTTTCTTTCTTATAGTCCCCCTTTAGATACTGAAAGGCTGCTCTCAGGTCCTCACAGCCTTCTATTCTCCAGGCTGAACAGACCTAGCTCTCAGCCTGTCCTTGTAGGGAAAGCGTTCCATCTCTTGGATCATTTTTGTGGCTCTCCTCCGGATGTGATCCAACAGATCTATGCCCCTCCTGTACTGAGGACTCTCCATCTGGATGCAGTACCCCAGGTGAAGTCTCACCCACACAGAGCAGAGGGGCAGGATTGATTGCCTTGTCTACAATTACCTTGACTGCATGTGAGTCAGCATGGTAAAATATGCCCATAAGCTCAGAGTTTATTATTGCTATTATGTCTTAGAAAAGAGATGATCAAGGTTTTATTTCTCTTTAAAGAAGACAGAGAGTGTTCAGAGTGTCGATATGTACTACTGGATGTGGGCTCAAAAACAAGCAGTCTACATTGTTACACTTCAGTTTGGCTGATTTTCTCTTTAAATCTATGGCTCAATATCCATTACAATCAAGTCAAAAGTCACGTTCATATTGATTACAAGCCTCTATTGATTCAAGAAAAATATTTTAAAATCCAGCATATTTTAGTACATATTATAACTGATGGTTCTACACTACTGAGATATTTCAGTTACTGGGAAGGCAGCAAAAAAACCCAAAGATCATATGATATATGAGCAGGAACACAATAGATGGTGCAATTTTTAGTTTTGAGATGGTAGACTAAAATGTCCTTGAAAATAATTGGATAGAGCCTTTTTAAAAATGGAGCTGTTACAAAACACCTTAAGTTCTCTGCTGTTATGGAAGAAACTGTTTCTATCTGGTTATTCAGTGCTGATAATTTACCATTAGCCTATTGTGAATCAGGTATGATGTGGTAGAAGATAGGAATTTTCTCACCAGAAATAAAGTTCAGTTTAACTAAATTTAAGAAAAGTAAATACACTGTATGATTTGTAGGTTAATTGGAGCTATTCAGAATGTATCTATTTATTCATTCACTTCATAAACCTTAACATAAATGGATTTTGAAAATATAATAACACTTCAAATTTCCTGGTTAATAACAGTTTTCAGACTCTTAATACCTGGTATTATAGATACAAAATTCTGATGTAGCTCCAGTGAATGAAGCACAATAGAAAGGTATGAAAAACAAAAAGAAAGGGGATCTTTCCCGCCACACTTGGACTGTATCTGTACAGGACAAAAACTGGGTAAGGAATGTGAGACATAAGGGCCTGAGGCTGCTGAATAGTCAAAGGTACAGAAGAAACCACTGCCAAAGAATAAATGTGTTTCCCCTAAAAAAGAAAAATAACCATAAAAAAGAAAAATAACCATGCCTGAATGTGCAGATGTATCCAGACAATCATTTGTAGAGGAAAGGTGCATTTTCAGTTCCTATGTTGAACTGCCCAATAATCACTGTCATGTCTTTGACCGATAGTAGCAATACAAGCTCTGTCTAATCTGTCTTCTTTATTCTTTTTGCAGGTTGTGCCTCTTCCCCATAGCTAACACAATGGAAGAAGTAAGTTATTATAATCTTTCTATGTCCTGACTAAGAAAAATCAATAAATGTGGTTGGTTTATTAACTAGAAAAAAAAAAAAAAATTGTTAGTGACTAGCAAAGAATATTCTTTATACCAAAGGACCTGAATATGTAATACATGTAGTATTTAGAGTCATTATATGGTCGATGAAGAGTTTTAAATATCTGAATTGGCAAATTATGGCATGTAAAGTAGATTCTAATGAACCTTTTTCTTTTTTTCTTGTGAGGGACAGACAGCTAAATACTTTTTTTCCTGTCACTCTTTTTATATGATCTAAAAAAGGGTTATATTTCTCAATAGTTACCTTCTAACAGATACAAAGATGTAAATCAGACTGGATAATGAAAGAATGAAAGTTACATAATTTCTACATTTAATATGATCTCTATCCTACACTACTTCCTAGTCTCAGTGTTTTCATTGAAAGCCACTATTACTTGTACAAATGCAATAAAAGCCAACTTAATTTTAATCCATCAAGAAATCTGATATTAATTATAGCCTACATCATAAATATTAAGTATGATATTATATTCTGATTCACAGTCCTATTTTTTTTCTGTGAAATGATACAAGTGCAAGAAAAATTTTTCGTCTTCACTGAAATATATTTTCAGACTATGAAACTAAAACATCAACGTAGAGATTTGTAAATAGGCAAGAACTTAAAAATCTCAGTGACTGTATTGTGATTAGCCCTTAATAAATTATTATATTTTTCTTTTCTTTCCCTCTTATATATATTCTTCTGGTTGAAGTTCTGGAATTATTATTATTATTATTATAATTATTATTATCTTTTCTCTTTGAACATACTCAGAAAGACTGATACTATAGTTTTGATATTGCAACCATTGGAATTAAAAACAATAATAAAATAGAATGCTAAATTTTTAAAGTGTGGAGACACACAAATTGATTTAATCAACTTCTGAAAACCTTATTCTCTTCTTAATTATATGACACTGAGTCCTTTTGCTCATTCAGAGTTACTCTAGCCTAACTAAACAGTAAGTAAAGGAAGAATGATTTTATACATTTCTGAGTTTTAATTCCTTTCAAGAATGTGTCAATAGTTAGTTGAGCCTGTGCTGTCAGTTTATTTCATGGGATTGCATGTTGAGAACAGGAAAATCATGACACATGCCTTGTTTTACTCAAGGGCTAATACACATATTACTCCTGGGAATTCCTCCATGAGAAAGGATAATACAGTTTGCAAGGTCAGTTTCTTAATTTACTGCATGTATTCCGGACAGGTAGGATGCATTCCTATTCATCAGGACAAATCCAAAGCTATAATAGAATGATGTCCTTCCTCCTATTTTAAGGTTTGATTTATATTTCAAGCTTTTTTTTTTTCTTTTTTTCTTTTTTTTTTTCTTCCGAGAAATAAAGGTTAGACTCAATTGATGAAATTGTTGAGATTATTTAATCCTTGTATCTTAGTTTATTATCCAGACTGATGAACCACACAGCTCAAAAATTAAGGAAAATAAAAAGTTCTGTTTTTAGGTTAGACTACTCTGACTATGTGAAATAAAAAGCATGGAACCGTATTTTTTTTCTGTTAAAGCATGATGTTATCACCAAACTATTTTTTGTCAGTAACTAGAGAAAATACAAAAAAAAAAAGAAAAAAAGGAAAAACACTGTGAGTGTTCATGTATGGTTATGTAAACCATGAGTGCTTATCACTAGCATATTATCTTCCAGAAGATCAGTAACTAAATATTTACTGTTAAAAACATTTATTGTTTTGAAACATTACAAATCTATTCCTTATACTTGAATCTGGAAATAGGTCTACAAAACCTTTACTAGAATATTCTGGAGTTTTCTGACCAAGCTGACACTCAAAGAACCAGTGGAAATGCCAGAAAGTGAGCCTTTGGCAGAACTGCATAGAGAAGTGCTTGGAATTCAGTACACATACCGGATGGAAATTTAAAGAAAAAGTGAACAACTGCACTCTGTTGGAATGCATGGATGAGGAGTCACTCAGTTCCTATAAGAAATTTGCTATTTTGTGTCTGGAAGTCTGTAAGCAAGGCCAAGCACAGACTATGACAAGCTTTGCAAGTATTTGTTGACTCCAATTATGGAATGAGTGAAGGCATGTCATGCTTACTGATGTTTCTTATAACACATTTTGTATTTTCTAAAAGAACATTCATTTCATATGGACCTATGAAATGCCAAAAGTTTATCTTAAATGCACACAGCATATTCAAAATGAGAAGTTTCAAAATTTACTTATAACAAACTATTTCATTTAAAATGCTATTTATATCTGTACAACTCTTTCCTATTAGAAATAATTGCAGCTAAAATTATCTTGTAGATAACCAGTTCTGAAATTCAAGAAAATAATTTCCTGCATATTTCTTAATTTGAAAAACGGTAGGTGGAAAATACCATGTATGATCTGTTGGCTGAGTAGATAGGGTACATAAACCAATCATGATCTAACACTGAATCAATATATTAATCATGTGTTTTTAATTGTTTCTTTCAATCCTTACAGGGAAAACATCTGTTATTTTGTCTGTAATGTCTGTAATATTCCAGAGACATTTCATAAGCAAACTTTAAACAAAAGATATTGCACTTTCCGAAATGAATAAAGAAATTGGTTTGCATATGTCAATGAAGATCACAATATGCATCATAAGATTTACTGAAATTTAAGATTAACTTTCTGATCTGCTCAAGGCAGAATATCAAGTATAAGATAGCATGCAACAATGCATATCATAAAAATAACTAACACAGTGTCAAAGAACAAAACTCTGAATTATTTTATATTCTTAACTAGTATGAAAATACAGAAAATGACAAGATGATATGTATAGAGAAACGAAGATTATCATAGCAATACTCAGTTATTTATATTGACCATTTGGTTGTTTCAGCAAAGTAAGTAGTACTGTTTACTGATATTTGCTTACTTGGTACATTTTCATATCACAAAAACCATTCCCAACAAAACAGTAACACATTTCTCAAGTCAGTAAACAACTAAAAAAAGCAGCTTTATTTTTTCCCTGATTATTCCACTAGCGTACATTCCAATGTTGTACTCTGTGAGCTGAACATGAACTCTGTTGCCACATTATTGATCAAGCTGCCTAAAAGCCAGTTTTCATTGCCATTTGAGAGTCATATCTTGCCTTCCCTCCTGCTGCCTGTCTTAAACATCTTGGTTGTGTAAGTTCCCTGACGTATTTCTAAGCCTGTGTGAATGGCTTGCGTGACTAAAACATTTCAAATATCATTAGATGTGCATGTTTAAGGAATTACATTCATTCAACACAATATTAAAGAAAGTAATATATATGCTACTTTTCACATCCAGTTAGAGCATTTAAAAATATAAAAATAGTACTAGAATTATAAGTTTTTAACTATAATGCTAAATTCTTATCTGCAATGAGAAAATAAATCAATTCTCATTGCCATGAGAGTCTCTGTTCAATTTAATAGTTAATTGTGGAACTCATCTGGTCCGTAACACAGATTCTGTATACTGCAGAAAAGATATCATCTGACCTTTAAGACTTTAAGTTTTTCATTAACTTTTTATTCATTTATGAAAATAATACCACAATATTTCTATAATATTGAAATTCTTTTGGTTAATTAGAATTAATCTAAATTCTGAATGACATCCCCAAAATATAATTGTATTTACACGCTGAAAGAGAAATGCTTTCCAGCCTTTGGCTTGTTTTATCATTTGAAATTGATCTGTCCCCACTTTGTCAACTGGAAGTCAGACACCAAAAGCTTGGCTGCCCCCCACCTTCTCTCAATGAGGAGAAACAGTGCTTAGTGAGGACCACTCTTGTTTTTCTTATTTTAGATTTTTAATTGAAGTAACTGAATTAGAGTCTTAATTTTAACGGAACCAGGCTGCATCATAAGTGAAAGCTGGGAATCGAAGCTCTTGAGCTATTTGCAGACTTTGAAGATGAGCAGAAGTATGCCTTTGGGAAAAAAATTTTGGGTGACTGAATCTTAAATACGCATCCTTTGAAATTTTGAAAAGAGTTGGGTATTTATATCTTCTTTTGGAGTGATGCAAACATTATATTAAAACATTTTGTGTTTGTATTTGCTAAAGTTTATGATAAAAAAACATGAACTAAAGGGCAATTTATGCTGAACAAAATGTTGAAAAACTATTTCTTTACATATATCTTTTTGTATTAAACACACCATAACAAAGTAAAAATGGAAAATTCCTGATTTCCCATTTTCTTCCCACCTCCTCTCTTTTCAAAGTAGTTTCTTTTAAAAATATTTATAACAACCCTTGCATAAATTGAAGTTTGATAAGCAGCACAATTTGGATTTTTGCATGATAGGTAACGTATTTGCATGATAGGTAATGTATTTAAATTAAGGATTTAACAAACTGCGTATACACAGTTCAGGATTCTTGCTTTGAAAAAGAGAGTTTTACCCTTCAAATTCTAGTTTAACTTCTTCAAATTTGTGTGAAACTAGATTATTTTTACCTCAAATATAGCAAGAACAATTTTTACTCCATGTAAGGAGATTGCAGAAACCTGATAAATAATGATTTTTTCAAGGCTGAACTTAAAGTGACTTCAATTGTGTATATAAATTTCAATTTATGAATTAATTAAAACCCAAGGTAGTGCTGAAATTCATTCAAATGATAAAAATATTATTTTAATAACAAAATGAGGGTCACAATAATTAGGTTTTATATTTGAGGTCAACAGAAGCATATACTTGAAAGAAAATACCTTACAGGTAAAGGGAAATGGAATTTTCCTAACATATCCTTCAATACAAAACACTGACTCTTAATTTTCATGCAATTGTCCATTATTATACACAATGATCACATTGCACATGTATCTTTTAACAGCCATCCTGTCAGGCTCTTTCCATCTCCAGTATTACAATGGCTCCTTCTTTGGTAGAACTACATTCATACAAAAAAAAACCAAAAACATTCACTCTGGATTTCCCAATCAGATAAGTTTTAATATGATTTAAGTGCAGTGGTCAAACTTGATGTTCAGCTAACATTTTTATTTAATGTTAATGTTTTATTTAGTCAACAAAATTAATTTCTTCATGAAGTATTCTGAAATCCTATAAAAATAGAGCCTGACAGCCACTGGATGTTTTCTATCAATTTAATGGGTATTGAGTCAGCACCATAGTTCATATTTTTTTATTCCAATACTATGAAAAGCAATGAACATTGAAAAACAAATATTATTAATTGCACTCTATTTAATTAACTTTAAGGAAACAGGTAAAACAAGCTTTTCATTTAAACTGAAGACTCATTACATTGGTGCTATATGCAAAGGGCCTTTAGAATAAATGAAAGAGAGAACCTTAATCTATGATACAAAGAGAGCATAAGCTAATCTTTCATCACATAATCATTAAGAGAAATTGTCATATCAGTTTTATAAATAGAAGGGAATACCACTGTAGCGTTGTTTGTATTTCTTTTTACCTTCTGCATCAGTTAATCCCACTCCCGACTGCTTCATTGGTTCTTGTCCATTCTGGCTCATCTTCCCTCTGTTAAAAAAAAGAATATGGTCATATCTGTCAATAAGACCATGAAGAGATCAGATCTAAGCAAATGGTATACCTAAGCCAAAGAATCTTGTCTCAGCACGAGAACCTTATTGAAAAGAAATGAATGTGTATATATACATATATACATACACAGTATAGAAAATTCAAGGAAATAAACAGGACAGAAGCTTTTTTTTCTATTGCTATTTAAACAGATCACAACACTTTTTTCTTGTTGTTTTTATTTTGGAGACAACTGCAGTCACATCTTACTATGCCTGTGCATTCCTGAAGAACGGAGCAACCAGAGGCTGTTTGAAACCTGCCTTCCATCAGTCTGGGGTTCTGCAAGCACTCTGCATAACTCTTCACCTCACTTTATACTGTTATGTTGAATGGTGAAATATGGAAGTAGTTGCTATTTGTTCTACAATATCATTACTGCAAAGGTAGATTTTGTTTCTGGTAAGTATTTTCTTCCAGTGACAGATTTTACAGTGCAGTTGAGATTCATCACAGGAGACAAGATATGAGACTTTATCTTAAAGCAAGGTGAGTGGAATAAAGCATGTTCTGGTGGACCCTGGGTGTAGAAGGAATCTAATGTGGATGTGAGTCTAGTTGTCTGTTTTCAGTTTATGAATGTTAGGTTAAAAAGTTTTATTTCCTTTTTTTAATCTTTAAACATACCTGTTGTAAGCTCTAAGGCATGGCATTAATCACCATCAAAAACACATCTGCTCCTGTGAGTTATGTTCCTATTTACAAAGTATAGTATGTGCATGATAATAGAATTATTAGACCCTACATATTGTTAGTTGATTTTACATTTGCATCCTAAATTAATATTATTTTACACACATTCACAGAATCATAGAATGGACTGGTTTGGAAGGGACCTCAAAGAACATCTAGTTCTAACCCCTGCCATGGCCTAGTTGCTATCAAGTAGATCAGAGATGCCCAAGGCCCCTCCAACCTGGTCTTGAACAGCTTCAGGGATGGGCATCCACTGCTTATCCACTTCAGGCTGCAAGAGCACACTGCTGGCTCATGTCCAGCTTTTTGTCCCCCCAGACCCCTAAGTCATTCTTCACAGGGCTGTTCTCACAGAGATCTCCCAGTATCTGAGATTGCCCCAACCTAAGTGCAACATCCTGAACTTGGTTTTGTTGAACTGCATTAGGTTTGTGTGGGCCATAATACTTACACAGGTAGTTACACAGTACAAAGGCATAGTTGTTGTCATAGATGGAAATGTATTTTTCAAGGATATTAAAAATGAACAATAAGAGATTTTTATAAATTATTTCCTAAATAGGCTACAAAATGTATTCATCTATGTATAACTGTATAAAATGATTATTTTCTCTTGATATTTGAACCAATGTTTAGTTCTGGCAAGTATTAAAATAAGTTAATTCATCAAACAATTCCCATGGTGTTACTAATTAAATTATTATTTTTTAAATTTCATTATTAATCATTCTGACTAAAGTAAAAAGTCAGCTGTCAACACTTTTCTATTGGTAGATCAGAAATTCATTCTAAACAGAGAAATCAACAAAGATGTTTTCATATGCCAAGACTTCTTAAATCATTTTGATCACTTCATACTTCAAATTGTGATCAGTGGTCTCATGGGTATACTGAACATCCATGTACAGGATCAGAGTCCCTGAAGTATTTTCAAGTCTGTGTGAACATAACACTGACTAGAAATGGGCCACTGAAATGATCAGAGGGCTGGAGCACCTTTCCTATGAAGAAAGGTTGGGGGAACTGGGTTTGTTTAGCTGGAGAAGAGAAGGTTCTGAAGAGATCTCATTGTGGCCTTAAAGTACTTGAAGGGAGTGTATAAAATAGAGGGGAAATGACTGTTTATGAGGGCGGATAGTAAAATGAGACGGGGGAGGTTTAGGTTAGATATTAGGAGGAATTTTTTCACACACAGGGTAGTGATGCATTGGAACAGGTTGCGTAAGGAGGTTGTGGATGCCCCATCCCTGGAGGCATTCAAGGCCAGGCTGGATGTGGCTTTGGGCAGCCTGGTCTGGCGGCTGGCGGCCCTGAACATAGCAGGGAGGTTGAAACTAGGTGATCATTGTGGTCCTTTTCAACCCAGGCCGTTCTATGATTCTATGATTCATTGATTCATTGATTCTATGAATTTCAGTCATGTATATAATCAGACATATAATTATTTTTATCCAAACCTGAAAATGTGAACAGATATGTGTTTTAAAACATTCTCTCTCAATATGATTCTGAGATGGTAACCATTAATTTTGTCATTCATTTTCATTAATTACTGTGTAAAGCCCTTAAAACTAACAAAAAAAAAAAAAAAAAATTGCTATCTGTGTGTTTGACATAAGTTTTAGAGATTCAAAATCTGCACATCACAATTTAAGAGCACAATAAGAATATGATGCAGTCCATACAGCAAAAAAAAATAGGACTTGGATATATTTTATTTAATTAAGCAAAATTCAGTGGAATAAATTACAACAAAGGAAAGGTTGAAAGTCTTGGAGATTTATTCCTGCTTTTCAGTAAAGTTCAGCCAATTTAGGGCTTAGTAGAATAGTAAATTTGTCAACAAAATACAAGTAGCTATAAGATACTGTCACCCTGCTAGATAATTCACACTAAGTAATATTATGTAGATTTCAATTTAGCATATGTCTACTAAAATTATACTAGGTGCTGCCTCGTGTTTCTGTACACAGGGACTTTATAGACTTTTGTCTTTCTCTTTAGGAATGACTGCAAAATAATTTTCTTTTGATATTGTCAAATTCAATTAAAGGATTTTTTTGCCACTGAGAAGTGAAACTCATTTTGACCTAAAATTATGTTGATTGAAAATTTCAATAAAATTAAGCAATTGGCATTCCATAGCCTGAGCTGGTGTTGCTCTCCTGGATTCCATAGATGAGAGAGAAATCCTAGATTAGTAGCTGTAGGGTTTTTTTTTTTTAGCCTTTTGTATGTTGTGATCTTACTAAAAAGAACGCTGAATATTTAGAAATATCACTGCTCTGGAGAAAAAAATTGAGCCTTTTTTTGTTTTCCTCTTTTTATTTTTTAAATTCAAGCTTTTTAAATCATGTTCTTGTGACTTCTATTTCTGGACTGCAAAGGACTGCAAAGCTGCATGTAACAGCTACTGCAGATACTGAATGAGCAATAACCACTGACTAATATTTTGAGAACAGCCAAAAAATTCAGGCTACAAACATTAATCTGATGAAGAGAAATTACTTTTTTTTGTTAGGGAATTCCAGGAGATCAGTCTGAAAATCTAAGTGGGTTGGCCTCAAGCATGGGAAAACTGCACTACTAAACCATAACCCAAGCCCATCTCAAAATGCTTGCATGGAAGTCTTGGATGTCTCCTGTGTGACAACAATAAAATCATGAGAATTAGGGAGAGGTTTTATAGTTATTAACAGCTCAACAGAGCAGAATTCGAGCTCTGAGAAATTCTACAGTTAACTGCTTTTCTACCGTGTAACTCAGTAACTCCTCTGCAGAGGAAACTACATATGAAGATAACCAGCAGTGAAAGCACTACACATAATCAGTGCACAGAGGATTCAGAATATTAAAGGAAAAGCCTTACATTCTTGGGATGGGAAACAGATTATTCTCTCCCGTGGCACTGCTGCTGCCTTCACTGTCCATGCTGTATCCACTGCCAAAACTACTGACTGATGAGCCAGTGGAGACAGAACTTTCTGTAGGTCGGTGGTTAGTAGACCTTGCTGTACAGACAGGAACAATGGGTTACCAAATGCCTTCTAAAAAATCAGTGTCATCCACATTAAGAAAAATAGAATTTATCAAAATTATATGCTGTAACATGTTTTACTTTTTTTTACTTTACATTCCAGTGTTGTGGTACCATCTTTTGCAGATAATGTTTATTTTCACATAGAATATGGTCTAAACCAAACAGAGCATCACCAGAATATTTTTCTTCACTCATGATAATAGTTCAAATCAACGTCCTAAAGGAAAAGAAGACTGGGTTAGATTGATTAACACTGCTTTTCTGATTAAAGTTACAGAAAACCAGTAATTCATCCAAAACATTTTGTAGGGTAACCCTTTAAATGTGATGGGCCTTCCTCTTCTTCTTCATGACACATTCATTACATTTTATGACTATGAGGAAACTGAAAAGAAATATATGTACAACATCTATAGTCACAGAAGCTGTATGAAGACCTCCACCCCCTTCAGACGTAACACTGCAACCGTACTACATTTCTCAACTGCTTTTACCTATCTGGATATCTCTTACTATCTGCCTGGAATTTCAATGCACTACTCATGCTTAAAACACTTTGTCGTATGTCAGATGTATTGTTTTGTGTTTTGAATACTGCTATACTTTGAACAAATTTTCCAGTATTCAGTCTTTAGCAAGTTGAGAAATATATACAATAAAAAGGACTCAGTAACATTACACATAATAATCAATTTACACAAACAGTAGAAAGACTATTCTCATATAAAATAATGAAATTATCATGGAAATATTATTATAAATCTTTTGATTTAATTTTTAAGTTAAACATAGTACATCTATTGTCATGCTTAATCTTTTCCAAGTGACTGAGCATATATACCTTAGATAAAATACTTTCCTTTAAATTTATTATTCTGTGAAGCCTTAGTGAGGTTTTCTCTTACTTTGGTGAACTGTGAAACAGTAATGCAAGCAGTTAAAAGAGATCCTTCTGTAAGTAAGAATTTAGTCAAATATCTAAATGGAAATTACTTCAAATAAGAGCCAGAGCCCCAGTGGTTTTCTGCTTTAAGCTGGCAACCAAGATTATTTTTGTGTGACTGGATGAATAATATTTTTTATGAAAACTGCTGAATGCTTCTTAATGTGGGACCAGGAAGATGAATGTGACTCTTCTAACGTATTGTAATATCAGCTTAATAATTGACACTGGATGAAAAGAATGAAGCATTTCACATGCTGTCAGTTCTTGGGCCAAACAATCTCATAAATTGCTTTTTCAACTCCGTTAACTTCATCTGTTTCATTAAGGCCTACAGCCACAGAAAGAATCTGTCAATCAAAACTATTTTTAGACAAAAAAATATATTATTTATCTCAAATTCTTAACTACGTGCATTAATAAAAGGATGTCTTTTTTGGATGATAATACAAATTAATAAACTGTAAAATCCTAATGTTATTAGCAGATACTTCCAGTATCTCTTCTGGAGGAAAAGACATCCTTGTTTTTGCAGCACAGGCAGCCAGACCACTGAAGTATTCTCTCTTCAGATAGCTATGAGCATTAGCTATTCCATCATTTTCATTCTGTGATGCTGTGAGTGAAGTCTTATGATTAAGTTGACGTGTCAGGAAACTGGTGTTGGGAAATGTTGGGCAAGAGAGATTTTGGAGAAAAGAGGTCAAGCTCCCTTTTATAAGGCACTATGTCAGCTTCCATATACTAAACAGCCTGTTGGGGCTTTATCATGATTGCCAAACTAGTCTGTCACCTCAGTTCTCATGATGGTTGAATGAGTCACTTGTATGATTTCTGATATCTGCTTGGAGTTTGGGGATTACTTTTTGTAGTTCTTATTTATTATTATTCTTGTTTGTTGGTTGGTTTGTTTTTAGTCATGACATGACAAATGTCTCATAGATGAGGACAATCTGGATAGCTACGCATCTGCAAAACCCATGCAAGAAAAGGCAGTATGATGTTAGCACAGAAAGTATATCTGGTCCTACCACTAAGAATGATTTTACTTAATATGACATAGATCCGCACCATAACATTTGTGGTTCAAAGGGTGGTTCATATCTGGGTCATATTTATATTGATTATGTTGTAAAATGTATTGCCTGAACTCATTTAGTATAACTGGTGGATTTCTAAAACAGTAAGAATATAAAAACTAGTTTAACATGTCCAAAAAGTTGAATCTGGCTTTCATAACTTGTTTAGAAATTTTTACACCCATTATTAATCAAAATGTAATCATTTTCTCTGATGGAGCTATATTCTAATATACATTCAGTACTATATTTTTAGTTTCTCTATCGTTTTGTCTGATTTATGTATTTTTCTGTATTGATCATCTTCAGAAATATCTATTGCCAAGTGGGTATAATGTGCCTAAATTTAGATTAATTACTGGATTTTGAAAATTCTAAGGTTCAAGGTTTCACTTTTTTTCTGTCTTCTATATGAGAGCAATGAACTACATTAGTTTGAAAGAGGAGATGAAACTTAAAAATAGATTTATAGATGTTCTTGTGAAATAAATAAATAAATAAATGTAGCTACAGAGAACTCCTCCATAACATATGAAACACTACATTTTCTACGTATCTGTAGTTCTTACAGACAAATGGAAACATGTAAACTGCTGCTGCTGGGTATAGAAATTTGTATATGAGATGCTGTTTCTGCTGGATATATGAGAAAGTTGTGATGAAGGTGATGGATGCAATCTTTTGTCTGATTTAGAATAACTGTAGTTAGCTTTGTAATCTGCCAAATTTATACACTCATTTCCAGTTCTATCCCTTGTTTTTAATCAAATACAAATGTTGTCCTAGGAACACCACTGGAAAGGATAAATTCATTATTATGCTGTTCTAGCCTTATTAGACTAAGGTCAGTGAAGCCCTCAGAGTAATCACCACATTGACTGGCCAGCTGGCTACATGTCCATATAAAGGACACAGAACTAAAGTGAGAATAGGCAGTTTTACTTCTGAATTAGAGATTCTGCTGACAGCTGCTTATGCTAGAAAATTCAAATTTCTGCTTATCGAACTTTAGAGAGTTAAATATCTTGCTATTGATTTACTCTAGCATTTTGAGGTATAGAGTTAAGATACTCCTTTCTGGTGCCACAGAAGTGCCTGATAATGCAAGACATAGTCTTGTTTTGTCTAAATGTACAGCATTTATGTAAATAGAAACCTGCTCAAAGGCAACTGCCATCTTTTGTCTATCACACAAACACAGTATGGAAGAGCTATGTCTTATTCCTTCCTTGCTCTTTGTTTTTTCTAATTACTTCCCAATCCCTCAAAAAATGATTTAGATTTTCACGTTCAAGGTTGCTGCCAACTACACCTGATACTGATGAAAAGACCGTGAAACCTTCAGCAGATCAAAGACTAAGGATAACTGAAAATCGTTATAAAAAATGATAATTTGGCTTCTTACTTCAAGAAAAGAAATATTCTTTCCATCCCCTTCTTTGTTCTCTGTTTTTTCCTTTTAAAGGATATTTCATGTTTTCTGTGTATTGTAACTTCAGTTAAGTCACGGCTGTCCAGCCATTGGTCTGTGATGAACAGATATCAGAAATGAAAGATTAATGTTCTAACATGGGCTGCTTCCTCTGAAAGATTGAACAGAATTTCTGCTATTGTTGCTGAATTGATGTTCTGTTGATTTCACTTTCATCTGTCAATATTACTTTAGCTTTGAGCTCCCCTACTTAGAGGAAATGTCCTGTACATAAGTTGTGCTTATGGGTAGAGATTTGATACTTAGTAGCCAGCAATGCAGTGTTATTATTAACACTTCATAATACTTTTTCTACTATCTTTTCAACAGGGTGACATGAGCAAAAGTTTCAGTTCAACCACTCTCCTGAATAATACACAAATACTTGGAAGAATTCTTGATTCCATAAAGGAATTGTTTCAAATTCTAAGTGGAAATTAGTGACCCTGATATAAGACTTTTTATCCAAGAAAAAGTGATCATGATGAAAGTGATACATTTTTTATTCAGCACTGTTTAAAAAGAAAAAAAAAAAAAAGAAAAAAAAGAATATTCTTTTGACAGAATAATATTCATCCATATTCCCTAATGCCTTCTTGGAATAAAAGTAATCATTTAAGAAAATTTGTCTTATGGATGCAGCAGGGAAAACAGGTAAGTCCTGCCGTCATATAAGAAAGTATATTGGATTCAAAGAAAAGAAAAGAATTGATATCAACTTTTCTTTTTTTTCTTCCATGAATATGCTTTTTCAATAATTTTTATTTTTATTTTTATTTTTTAATGTAATGTAGGAAGGATATTCACAAAAAACCTTTTGTTATGAAGAGTCAAATCAGTCAGAAGGAAAAGAGAAACAGTCTAGTGTTGTCACCACTTCAGCTATTCTTCTAGAGTGAACAGATATGGGGGAAAAAAAGAAGGAGAATAATACAAAAAGCATGACTGAGACGTTCTGTGAATAGAACAGCCTCAGCTTTCTCCTGGTCATTAAATTGCAGAAATGGTGTTTTCTTTCAAACGTATGTTCCACTTCTCAGGTATATGTTTAGAAGTGATAACTCAGGTGTCAAAACAGACTGAGAAAGACAGTCTGATTTGTAATCCAAACAGAAAAATGTCTTTTAGCTAGTGTTCAGCATTAAGCTTTGAGATTTTGCCTTTAATTGTTTGAAAAAGAGTTATCTGGACTGGCAGTCCAGTGACAAGCCCTGAGCAATAAAGAGGGCTGACACCATCCTACACAGCAGTGCAAGTCCACACAAGCAGGTGAAACTACAGATCTGCTTTGGTTATTTATCATCCCAGACTATTCATGTCACACACGTCTTCAGGTAGAAGTCTATTATTCTCTCTCTCTTGTCTTCTGATTCAGTATACCATACTCTCACTGCCCCAAAATTGCTGTTTACACACTTTTAAGAAGATTTTGCTAGCAATAAAAAGTACTGTTCCAACTTGATCTATGAAATTCTACAGAGCTAACTACATTCTTTTGATGGGGCTGTCAGCTGCCTGTTTTGTGAACTGCCAACAGAATAAAGATACAGAATAAATAGCCAGTGAGAAATGCCCCAGGACAGTTCTGATAGTCTCCTCCCTTCATTCTCCCTTACTCCAAAAATTACTTTAAATCATGGTCTCAGCTATTTCAGCTGCATTTGTATATCAGGCACAGCTTTGACTACTCACCAAGAAGTGATATTTTGTGAGTTTTCTACACAATGTTTTGCAAAGCAATTTTCCATTTGAAGTGAATAATGGTGGCAAAATAGCACTAATCTGAAAATGTGGTGGTGGTATTTCTTTACTCAGCAAAGCAATTCCATTTTTTTTTTTTTTTTTTTTTATGTCCTCCATAAGCTTCAGCTACCATCTAATAGACTTTTGAAATAGAAGTTATCAGATGAAGAATCCAAGCAATTTCCTGAAATTACATGTCAGTTTAAAATGGTGGAAAAGTAAATAGCAGGAATAGTCAAAGCAAAATGTGCCAACTTTTAGACTAAACAGGACTCAAAAGACAGCCTGAAATTATTGCTGTCTGCAGAGAGTGAGGACATACTGTTCTTGTTTTGATAATGATTCTTGGAAATGGGTTATTTGTAGCAACATGAAACCCTTTTATTTTGGAAATTAAGAAACTGGTGGAGGAGTTTATATAAAACAGCTTTGGGCAGTAAATTACGTAAGTGTGAAGGTAGTATCCTAAATTATTGTAGGAACTAAAAAGATATTGCCTATCAAAATGTGAAAATGGGAGTACAGATGAGGAGATATTTAAATCCACAGTCAATCCAATACAAAAGATTTACAGAACCTAGGAATCAGCTTCCATTCACTTTACATTGTTGTGAACAGTAGTTTGTGATAAAGACAATTCCTGCTGATTTTAATATTTTATTTTATTATTTTATTTTATTTTATTTTATTTTATTTATTTATTTTATTTTGGTTAGAAATTACACTGTGCTGGCTCAGACCTGTATTACGGATTTTATGCTGCTAACAATATCCTACTGGCAAATATATCAGATCACATTTTGCTGTAGCTTTAACCTTTTGTTATACTGACACTTGAGACAAAGTTGAGTACTTTCCTCCTGGTGCTTTTTTTACATGTGTCAAGCAACACAAGAAGTACAGACTAAAGCAGACAAAAGCTCTGATCTCTCTTTTGGCATCTACAATGATCTGCATGTTCAAGCAAGAGTATTTTGACTCAGTATATCTCTCATGAGTGCCAGTTTGGAAGAGTAGAAAAAAAAAATCATTAGAGTACAATAATATTCAGGTCTAAACCATTTACTTAGGTATTCAAATACTGATATATGGTGTTCTAAGTATCCTAGGAAGAACCAGAGTAGTCTTCTAGAAATTCTTTTATTAGGTTTTAAAATATGTTCTTCCATTGAATATTTGTTATTTTAAAGTAATAAATTTAAACAATGTAAATAGTATATTTGGGGGCAAAACTAACACTCCTTCTTCAAATAAAGATATTATTTGCAATGGATTATTATTGAATTATACTCATTAGGCAGGTATATAAAATATCTGTGTGGATACCAAAGCTACCTATGAAACTGCATACTTTAAAAATGGCCATTTGTGTGTGTGGAACTAGTGTGCCTTCCTATTTCATTCGTTGAATTCACTTCCACTTCTGTTACTGAATTGAAATTATGTTCTTCCTTATCCTTCTCACTTGCATTATTAGAAGTCATTAAAACTAAGCCAGGTAGTTTACTTATTTCTAATTATTCTCTATCTTTGAAAAGACTTTCTACATAAAATCAGGAAATAACTATTGCAGATGCACCTGCATTTTTATATACACATATACAGAGAGCCAGTAATTACAATCATAATATTTGAAATTGTTTAATTATTTGGAGAACTCTAAAATCATTTATTATACTTTAAACATAAATGACCTACCAATAAATTTCCACATAACAGGCAAGATCATTCTATGGGATAAATTATTGACACAAAAGCAGACCGTGGGCTGATTTATGCTATCTGAAAAGCTGACTAATCTGGTGGATAAACCCTGATACACAGTTTATGTTGAAAGGAATATGATTAATTTTATGTGAATGTTTAATTGGCTCTGATTCAAATTTTTCACAGAAATGAATTCAAATTAACTTAAACTTCTGTTTCCCTGTGGCTTGCATCCCTTGCTGCTTCTGCCTTAAAAGGGTTTACTCTGAAACTTTATTGTTCCTTTTTGAAGGGTGTGAGGGGAATATGTGTTGTGCAATTTGTTTAGTTGCAGATTGCACTCTTATCTCTCACAGGCAACAAGGACGCTACTCTTCAGGGTATATTTTTAATTAAGTACTGTAGTTGAATATTGGCTTTTACAAATGTGCTGAACAAAATCTTCTGTTGTGGCTTCACCTTAATTTTAAAACGGATCAATTTAAACACATTTTTTACTGTTTAAAATAAAGAAATAGTTCAGTCTAATAAACTTAAGGTGATGTATATCCTCCTCATTAACAGTACTGTGGTAATATTTTTGTTTATGATTTCCTTTTTACTTCTCATCAGACATATAATTAACTTACTAACTAGCAAAATATATTCTGTGGGAAAGGTCATAGATCTAGAAGTAGAGAACGATTTCTCTGGTGCATTCTTTTGTTTGGTTTTGTTTAAGTGGCAATCCAATGCAAGAGAAAAAAAAAAACAAAAACAACCACAACACTAAGTTAAAGGACGTAACCCTTTCTAAGGGTTCTCTTAAGTTATGTGCGAACGACTGATAAATATACAGATAAATCTATATAAATAATCCAAATATAAATCTATCAATAGATTTTTTTTCCCCATCACCATTGTGGAAATACCATATATTGCTACTACTTGGCCTGAAGAAACAAACAGCTGTCTTGAAATGTGCTGTTCTCCAACACATTCAGATAAATTGATGTGATAATAATAAAAATGTTCTACATTATCTGTAATGGCTTTCTTAAGAAAGGGCTTTTACCTTTAGTGACAAAAAAGGCAAAATCAGCCCGTACTAACTTGCTAAGTCAACTGTTCTATTTCATAAAACCAGATGCCAATAAATTAAATAGTGATGGGGGTGGGTAACAAAACCATGAAGCATCCCTCCAGGAATGGACTTTCAAACTGATGATGCCCTAATACTCATCATTTACAATTGTCTCAACTTTTAGAATTGTTGAATTAAAGAAGAAATCTCTTTCCCTCAGCTCCCCTTTTTCACTCAAAGAAATTTAAAAGCAGATTTATCTTGGTATCTTTTCCATTTAAGCTCGTAACCTTTCCTGGTTTAATTTAAACATTACACTGAAGATAACTGATCAATTACCCTCAAAATTGTAATTATTAGCCCACCTTACATAAATAAATTAGAACAAACTAGTTTTTGAATAGTAAGAACCCCAAAGTTCTCACAGGTCTGAAACCAAACTTGTCAAAATTGTGAAGGCCATTGTGCGTTACCTGTATTTGTCCAAGTAAAAAGACAAAAGTACCATGTTTTCTTATAGTAATTCCAACCTCATTAATGTATCACTGATATAAATGATGGCTCTCATTCCTAGGGCTTTGTAACATGCTTCTAAAATTGCTCTCAGGCAACTGTATATTGATTCATAAAATAATGTGTGTGAACCTTGCTTCAACTTCATATCATAAGGAAAAGGGTTTAGCATTGTTTCTCTCAGCCAAAATATATTGTTAGACTATAATTCTTAGTGACAAATGTCTACACACATGGCACCAAAAAAAAATCATTATCTATGTAGATTTCTATGGAAGATGTTCCAGGAATAGGATGGATCTTTCAGTTATGATATCTGAACTAGAGTCACGATCTACTCCAGCCTTTGCCTGAACTGAGTGTCAGAAGCTGAGCTGTAGAGTCTGGCCACACATGTGAACATAGGAATATAATTTTAAAGAAGTTTTCTTAAAGCTTTCAGAGAAGATACAACTTGTTCTTTCTAACTGCAATATTTAAAATTACTAATTATATTTACCCTTGTTAATTTGTCATTTCTCCCTCACACTATTTAATGACCTATTGTCGTTAATCATTTGAAATATCATGCCCTCTTTTTCTCTTACATTCTCAGCTACACTTTATTGCCCATGGTATATAATAGTGTTAACCAAAAAATCTGCAATAATTCATGTAAGGTTGGAAAGGGAATACACACAAGAGAAGATCTGAGAGTCCAATCTCTAAGTTTATTTGGATAATCCCTCTGATTCTTTGGAAATAACCAAAATGCTCCAGAAGTCAATAGAACAGTGTCAATTTGAATCAGCTGAGATTCTGGCTCTTTATTTGTGTTGAATGGTTAAGTTGATGATATGTAGCATTTAGATTTGATGAACAGATGTCTACAGGTGGAAAGTAAGAGACTGATTGGAGAGTTGTCAAAAGATTGAGCTATACATGGATCAAAACTTTCCTTTCCACTGGTGGGTTAAAAAAATTATCCATGCCTATAGCATAACAATACTGGAGAGAAAAAATACATTGTTAATATCCCAATTAGTTTTTTTGTCAGAAGGTATGTTTAATCATGCTTAAACAGACTAACTTGGTCGTATGCTCTCATTAGCTGACAACATGAGGAAAACTATAAGAATTTTCAAGAGACGTCCTCTAGTGGAAAGGAAGCAGATGTGCTTTTTGTTTCATAACATCTCTTAGCATAGTTTTTTTGTTTGTTTGTTATGTAATTGTGTGCTGATGTCGAAAAATCAAGCAGAGTTCTTGATTCATGTTAACAGCACTTAACAAAAGGATAAAATAAATAATTAAATATTGCAAGGAATTAGTAGACATGGCAAGAAGGATTTGGGATGTGTCGTGTTTCTTAACCATGCCCTTCTGCTCACCTCCTTCAGGCTTGACTGGTCCATCAGACATCACTTTCCTGAGGGCTAGTTGGCTTTGGTCTTTGTTGTCATTGGCTGGTGGAGGCAGATTGTCAGACTGAGTTCTTTGAATAGGGAGGACTCCTGCTATGCTGTGTCTGTGCTGCTTCCTGGCATGATTAGATTGACCGCTTTTATGTGCTGCTGTGGCAGTGTGGTGAAATGGAAACCCAGAGTATGTATCCTCAGATGGAACCAGCTTAAATGTTATTCATGCAAACAGAAGTGTTTTTTTTTTCTTTCTGTATTTAAATAAGTAGTGTTTTCAAACACCAAAGAGACACCACATGCACAGCATTAAAGAGTACTAAAACTGGCTGTTTCTTTTATTAATGATGGTGAAGGCAAGGGAAATAATTTCCCCCTAGTTTTTGCATTGCACCATGGTAAGTTTATGGCATATCAACAAATCCTGAAGACAAACACAATGAATCCACAGTCAGAGAGTTTGATTTGCCGTTAATTAAATGCTCAACTAACAAACAGATGCTGGAATGATAGCTATGGAGAGCTATCCTCTTAAACGGAAAAGTTCTAATTTATTAATCTATTTGAAGATGTCAGATAAAACCCATCCTCACTCATTAATCAATGTGTGGCAGAAAAATTCCTAGAAAACCTGTATGACAACAACTGACTTAGCTCTGAATTCCAACTTGGATAACATGTTAACACTGTCAAAATCTACTTGTTAATTCTTTCATGTACTTAATATTTTTCTGTATCGCTGTTCTGCTCATCACTAACATGTTTTTATGTGAGAGATAAAGAAGGTTGCCTTACATTTCCTTTCCAAACACCGCTAGATGCAATCACGTTTCAAAAAACAGTGTCTGAGTTGTGCTGTTAAAAAACTTTTCTTCCAACTTTAAATCTTTTCTATATGATACTGCCCTGCTTGATTACTATTCATAGTGTGTTCTCAGTACCTGTGTGCAATTTGCAAAACTGGCAACTGCATCTCTGCAGGTTTTTGTTACTTTATTCATAGTTATTTAGTTATCGTAGTTATTTAGACATCAAAACATCATCACACAATGGAACTCTCTGTGAGTCATGCACAACTATGAAATATTATGGACCATGAGTGAAGAAAGTGATGGAGAAACAGCCAGTTTCACTGCAGTCTATATAAATTAAAATAAATAAATAAAAGACATCTAAATACAAGATATATTGTAATTATATGTATTCACACACGGGCACACAAAGAAAGACATTGAAAGAGTGAGCACAGTGTGCCAAGAACAGAAAAGAAATAGCCAAGAGGGAAAGACAGCAGGGAAAAAGGCAACAGATGAACATTAAGCTGCCATGCTGAGGAATTTATTTGCGTCTTTTACTTGGTTGAAGGCGAAGCTGTTGGACAGCTGCTTCAGCAGCAGCGATGGCTGCCCCAGCATCTTCAAGGTGTGTTTGAGTGACACTGGTTTTGCTTTGGCTGCGGGATGGCCCATGAGAACGTAGATGTCCTTCAGAAGAAGATTTGGAGCTCCCTGGACTGCTGTGGGATTTCTCAATGGTGGGCACCTGCATGTCTACCAAGGAAATGAAGAAGCACAAGTGTTGCATTTATTAAAA